ATTTTATTCGCAGTACCAACTGTTGAGTCAGTACTGGGTAAAAAGCTTTTTAACTGCCCAGAGAGTTCTCACATTCATTTCAGAGTAGTATTATAATAGTTAAATATTTATTTCTTGCAAGTTCTGGAATAGTGCTAGGTTTCCTATACTTTCATTAGCAGTCTGTTATTTGTATGCAGTAATTGCTTTAAAAATATTAGCACTGTAATTTCTTGCTGGCACTGCGATGAATCGACAGAAAGGCTTATCCCCTGTGCCTCCCCACCGGAGAGCAGAACTCTGCTTCCCCCAGTGCCAGAGACAAAACCTCTTTAATTTCAGGATTACACACAGAGAACTCAGGACAGATGTCAGTCTGGCAGTCCAGTAGGACTCCTGTCCTTCCTAACTGCAGAACAGATGCAGTAGCTAAGCAGTGCTACAGCCTGGCAGTGTGCCTCCGGAGGAAGCAACAGCTCCTCCAAGGAGAAGGGAAGCCGCTGCTTCTTTGCTTCATTTCAGTCCTTGACCTCTCAACAGCAAGCCATATTCTCTGTTCCAAATGGGAGATCTTTAAGGATGCAACATCTGGCTACTGGGAACTAAAAAAAAAAATACACTATTTATTCGTTTCAAACATCCCCCAACAATGACTGTCAACTGCTGTTGCTCTGGGACACGCAGAGGCCAAGTGACAGCAACCCACCTGCATCCCTCGGCATCTCTGAATGTTTTTTTGTTTCAAGAGTTCACTTCAACAAACATTAAGTGTGCACTGCTAAACTGTGACAGGCTACTAAAGCTAAGGACTGCGGGTTCTGATCTCTGATGCTTGACTCACAGAAATAAGGGGCTTGCAGAAACCGTGAGGGCAAAGCACCATGAAACAAAACATTACAAATCTGACCAAGAGACAGGAAACTCCTGCAAAAAAAAGTCTCTTCAGCCCAGTAAAAAGAATGTTACATATTTTGCTGTTTTCTCAGAGACTGCCTGCTTCTCTTGACAGGATGGATGAGAAACTATAATTCCTACTGAATATGAAATAGAAGGAGAAAAATAATTGGTAATTACAATATTGCAAGCTATATTTCAAAATCATTGGTACTTTACTGAGTGCCTTGATTTTCTGGTAAATAGTCTCCACACACAATCCTCCAGCACCACTAAATGAGCTGTACTGCTGGTAGTGACAGACATTTGCAATACATGATATTTCACAATGTGGACAACTGTTAAATTTTATCCCTGAAGAGAAATGTCTTTACTGCCACATACACAGCTCCTGTAAATGTCAATACTCACACTGTGATTATGGAGTAACTAAGTTCTATAATATTTATCATACAGCTTCTACATACGTGTGCATTCTTACTCTCGTTAAATGCACAACATTTGGCTGCGTCACCATGACCATGACATAAGATTTTTTTGTATGAAAGCAAACTGTGAGATTCAGAAACAAGAAGAGGTTTCAGCCCCTAGATCTGTAGATCTAGACATCTAGTCTACTGCTGTCACTCATGCATGAATACATACCAGGGATGAGTTTTGTGTCATGGTCATTCAGCTTCAGGTCATTCAACCTGACAGATAATCCCAAGATTCTACGTGGGAAATTATGGAGGCTGTATTGTGAAAAACCTACCATTCATTGTCATGTCACCTCTGTGCTATGAAAACAGCAGGGACCATCACTGAAGTCATTCCTCTCTTACCTTTCCAAGCCTTGTCCTCAAACAACAGGTGCTTTTCACCTCCTTCCAGACCTCCCTCCCTGTCTCCTCATGTCCTTCTCACAGCTACAGAATTTCATCTTGCTCTCTTTATATTCCTTAAACCTCCCTGGTTCCCTCGTTTTCTCTCACTATGGGCTGGACTTTTCTGACACCTGCTATTCAAGCTGTCTTCTCTGCAGTTTCCAGTGTCCCACCCAGAACACGTGTTCTCGGAAAACGTTTCACCATCTCACAGTTCTTGCAATCTCTCTCCCCATTCTCACCATCACCGATCCTGCATCCTTCCTTTTCCAAACCATCAGTGCCTGTGATCTTTCGCATTCTCCATTTTTTTTTATTCGTCAGGAAACCTGTTATGTTCTGGGATCGTAAATCCATGTCAAGTACATGGAATACTAAGTGAAATTACTGAAACAAATAAACCATCAAGAGTCAAAGCCCTTCTCTCCCCCATCATCCCCTTATGGTAATACAGTGCCCTCGCTGCTCTGTGTACCACAGTGGCAGAGCTCTCTGCATGATCTCACGTGCATTAAAATAAGACAAAGCAGGCTGGGAACACAGCAGGGATTGTGCAATATTCTCTTGGACCCACAGAAGTTATGTGGAGAAGTTATTAAACCTTCAGCAGATTATTACCGTGAGGCATGAGCTGCGTGAAATGAAACTCAGAAATGGAGTATCTGTGGGGTTCAGGCCACATTACAATATATTAAAAAGCCAGAGGATCATCTTACTCCAAAAGACTGGGAAACATTAAAATTACCCTGGAAAATAATAAACACAGAATAGTGATTTTGTCTGTCTGTTAATGGGGGGATGTTTGTGAGTCAGGAGAAAGCAATATAAGTTACCAGTGTCAGAGGGCTACTCACATATGCATCCTAAAAATCCAAAGATGCCTTTTCAATTACTGCTGTTTACAGAAACCATGTGCATATATATCTACACCTATCACTTCAGTCATGTTCAAGAAGAAGAAAAGAATTACAAGGGGACGCCTCACACAGTAGGAAGCCTGTGGCCAAACTTGCTTTTTCTACAGACATTACATTTGAGAATTTCCAGGAGAACCATGTGAGAAAGCAAATAAAGCCCACAAGGCACCATCATGTGCTATTTTTCTGTGTTAAGAGCCCTACAGATAACTCTTGCATAGAAAGTGATGCCAGAAGGAACAATAAAAATCTCTGTATATCAAAGTCACCAGTCTTCACACAGTACCTCTAAACTCA